AGGATAAGGCCCAGAAATCAGGATTTTAAAAAGATTCCCAGGTGATTCTAATGTGCAGCCAAGGTTGAGAACCACTGGTTTAGTCTAACCCTTCACACTTTACAGGTGCAGGAGCTAAACCAGAAGGGGCAGGCGCTTCGCACAGAGCAAGCAATAAAAATAAACTGTCTGTGAAGGCTGAGAATCTTGCTGTAATTGCAGCAAATGCCTGGCGCCTCTGAAGGCTAAGGAGTCAGCCCAGGAGGGAGCCTGGGGCAGGGCCAGGTGGTGCCACCTCACACCAGCAGCCAGACCCCAGCGCGGCTCTGCGGCTGCCTCCTGCCCTCACTTCACCATCGAAATTCTCCTTCCCAGTTTAGCCCGGCCAGTGTGGCTCAGTGGTTGAGCAACGACCTATGAACCAGGAGGTCAGGGTTCAATTCCCCCGTCTTCTATCTTTCCCTCCCTCTCTGAAATCAATAAAAATATTTAAAAAAAAAAATAAATTCTCCTTCCCAGCTTAAAGGTAGACATGGACATGAGCCCAACACTGAGCTATCGGGGAAATCAGCCCCCATGCCAGCCCCGCCCCCACCTGGAGGCCCGCGAGGCCTGGTCCCTCCTCGTCGCTGCAGCCGCAGTTATGACTCTGGGTTGCAAGGTCCCCAAGATACCGTTTAGTCCCTCTCTGAAATCAATAAAATATATTTAAAAAAATAAACAAATTCTCCTTCCCAGCTTAAAGGAAGACGTGGACGTAAGCTGGACACTGAGCTATCGGGGAAATCAGCCCCCACGCCAGCCCCGCCCCCACCTGGAGGCCCGTGAGGCCTGGTCCCTCCTCGTCGCTGCAGCCGCAGTTATGACTCTGGGTTGCAAGGTCTGTTTCTTTGTTATGGGGCGAGGCCACAACATTAGTAACAAAGAAACAGAATTTCCGGAGGATGAGGCCCAGAAATCAGGATTTTAAAAAGATTCCCAGGTGATTCTAATGTGCAGCCAAGGTTGAGAACCACTGGTTTAACCCTTCACACTTTACAGGTGCAGGAGCTAAACCGGAAGGGGTAGGCGCTTTGCACAGAGCAAGCAATAAAAATAAACTGTCTGTGAAAGGCTGAGGAGGGCACAGCTGAGGGTTAAAGGAGTAAGTAATTAAGTCCCACAGGTGACAGAACTGGCTGGAGGCGGCTGCCCCTTCCCCCCAGGCTCCACCAGGTTGGTGCTGCTGGTGGCTGTGGTCTGTGGACGGTCTGGCACGTGGGCTGGGAAAGGAAGGAGTTGAGTAGCTTGCAGGCCCTCCCCCCTCCCGATCTCCCCGCTCCTGGCCTGGAGATGTCACCTGAATCCTATTTATTTGGGGTGAGCTCAGTCCTCCCTTCCCTGGGTGACCTGGGCCACCCACAGATGGAAGCTCCGCTCCGATCCTCCATCCTGTTGTTACCAGACTTCCCGTGAGAGTCCACCTGGGAGGACACAGACCATGGCCACGGCCACCGCCAGCTGGGCCAGCTCATCCCCCCCCCCCCCCCCCCCGCCATTCCTGAACACAGAAAGTAGCCCTTCCCAGACCGCTGGGGCCGGAGGGCTCCGTGCCGCACCTTCTCCCAGGCCCTGCTGGCCTCCCTCGCTCACTTTCTGTCTCGGATCTGAAATGGTCTTCGGGAAGGAAAGGGCTCACATCTCCCCGGCGCCTGGCTCCTGGCCGTGCCCTGGGATGGAGAGGCAGACCGATGGAGCATGCGAAGCTACAGGCTGCCCCCTGCTGGCCCGCACGTGTGCTGCGATCACTCCCAATTCAACTCCGGTCCTAAAACGCGCCGGCTGCAGAGTCCAGGTCGTCAGGCTGAGGCCCAGCCCCAGGGATCCAGAGTCCTCAGAACATAAACCGCTGAGCGCAGGTGTTCAGTGGCCGAAGTCAAACCGTGTATGTGGGATGCTTTTCCTCGGCCAGAAACAACATAAGAAGAGACAGGGAATGGCTGGGGGTGGGGGTCTGGTCCTGGCACCGCATTTCCTGCCCGTGTGGCGAGTGAGGGTGGTGGTTCCCTGAGCCCCCAGGATCTGCACCCAAACCCTGATATGATCCCCCCGCCCAGGCTGTCTGAGAGCACACCGCCCAGGCGGGCACGCTCTCAAACCTCAAGTGCAGAGCGACTTCTACTTGCAGTGTGGAGTCTATAGGGAGGTTTAAATGATGCCGCGGAGGCGAGGTTGGTTGAAAACGTGGGATCTGACAGCTGCAAGTTACCCAGGAGGCTCCTGGGGCGCCACGGGGGAGGAGGTAAGTGTCAGGCAGCGAGTCCCAGCCCTTCAGTGACAGCGACAGAGTCCCAGGCCCCGGACCTGAGGCCTGATGGGTTCCACGGCCCTTCACTCGCTGCCTCTGTCCTGGCTTTAGTTTTCTCCCCAATAGAATGGAACTGACACTATTCACCTGATGAGACGGGGTGACAGCGGGTTGGGGTGAAACACTTTGTAAGCGAGTTCCGGCCTCAGAGAGCACCGCCTCCAATGTACCCCAGGTGAGTAATTTTCCTAAACCGCAAACATGACCGTCTCGCTCCCCGGCTTACAGTCCTGCAATAAGTCTGCTTTTTTTTAGACTTATAGCAGGATTTTGATCCTGCCTCCCTTGCTTGCCCCACACTGAACACCCCGCCCTCTCTTATCCATGCCTTTGTGCATGCTGTTCCCTGCCTGGAATGCCCTTCCCACCTTGTCAGCCTGATGGACTCCTACTCATCCATCAAGACCCCACTCCAGCCCTGGCCGGTTTGGCTCACTGGATAGAGCGTTGGCCTGGGGACTGAAGAGTCCCGGGTTCGATTCCGGTCAAGGGCATGTACTTTGGTTGCAGGCACATCCCCAGTAGGGCGTGTGCAGGAGGCAGCTGATCGATGCTTCTCTCTCATCGATGTTTCTAACTCTCTATCCCCTTCCCTTCCTCTCTGTAAAAAAATCAATAAAATATATTGAAAAAAAAAAAAAGACCCCACTCCAGGGATCGCCTCACCTGGGGAGTCTCCCCTTCCTCATGGGCTTGACCAGACCACGCTGTTCCTTACTCTCCAGCGTATCTAACCCGTTCCTGGGTGAACATGCCCTGCTGCAGAGATCGGTCTCACCAGGATGTGGGCTCCCTAAGAGAAAGGACAAAGATGACGTCATTCCTGCCCCCCATGCCCAGCACCCAGGGAAATGACATTCACATTCAGTTGTGCTGGATGAATGAGCGAACGGGAGAAGGAGTCTGGCCATAAGAAGAGTGGTCAGAGAGCTGCCTGGAAGATGAGCAGGGGAGTCGACCAAGGTGGTGGCCACACTGATGGGGACCTTGAAGGTTTAGGGAAGGTTTCGAGTCGGCGCTGCTGGCCTTGATGGGCTCCGGTCTATTCCAGGAGAGAACATTCCGTGCCTGGGACCTGAAATCTACACCACGCTCCTGGCCCGGGCTTCCAGCCCATGGGGTCTCTCTGTGCTGCGGCCTCCATAGCAATCTGACTACGGACACCCACATGGCCCACCAGCATGGCCACCTGGGTCGGACTCTCCCAGGTGGGAGCCAGGATCTCGTTACATAACTGGCCCTGTCACTTCTCGAACGAAGAAGCAGAGAGTTAACCGCGTGTATCTTTGCTTTCTTTTTTCTAAGTTCTAAGGTTCCCAGGAGACTTGCAACCAGGGGACCAGCGGGCAGCGGCACCTCGTCCCAGGCTAACCCCCTAAACCCGTCTCCAACCTGTAGCTGGTTCCCGAGTCTACGCGGCCCAGCTGGCTCACTTCTGCCTGTGACTGTCTTTCTAAGAGGCCGAGGCAGCGCTCTGAGCAGCCTGATCGAATCCTCTCGTCCCATGTACTTTCACTTTGGGTGTTAAATTCACTTCCTCTTGTGCTAGCGTTTTGGGCTCTGAATTCTCTCTTTGCTGAACTCAAGAACCAAAGCCGACATTGCCAGTAACACTGGTACGTGATGCAGCATACTGCCTAATGTTCCTAGTGGTAATTAATACGCTCACCAAAGAGGAAGACTGTATGGTCCATAATCGAATTCCCATCCATACACTCTCCTTGACAGAGATCTTTCTGACCCCTCGTCCTTCCAGAACATTCCATCGTCTCCTAGGACCCTGTCCGAGTGGCTCATCTAGGACCCATTTTGAACTTACCATAGCGATCGAGCTCTCAAGCGTGCACATCTGTGACCCAAAGAAGAGTGGTGTCGCCCGGCCAGCGTAGCTCAGTGGTTGGACGTCAACCTATGAACCTGGAGGTCACGGTTCAATTCCTGGTCAGGGCACATTTTAAAAAAAATGAAGAGTGGTGTAGACTCTTACCTTCCCAAGGGCTGTGGTGAAAGCGGGCAGCCTTTGCCAATTAGGGGCATTTTATTTTATTTATTATTTTTTAAAAATATATTTTCATTGATTTCAGAGAGGAAGGGAGAGAGAAACATCAGTGATGAGAGAGAATCATTGATCGGCTGCCTCCTACACACGCCCCAACTGGGGATTGAGCCTGCAACCCGGGCATGTGCCCTTGACTGGAATCGAACCTGGGCTGACACTCTGTCCACGGAGCCAAACCAGCGAGGGCAATTAGGTGCATTTTAAACCCATGTCAGGGAGTGGCATTTCAAACTCACTGCTATCCTTGGCAAAGTCTGGCCAAGAGAACCCGTCTTGATGAAAGGGACCCGTAGGGGGCGCAGTCACACTCCCTAATTGGTGTGTGTGCAATGCGGGAGTTTTGTTAAAAGGAAGATTCTTGGTCAGTGTGTGTGTGTGTGTGTGTGTGTGTTATACATTATATACATGAGGCATGTGAATATATACAGAAAATGTATATATATATACATATATATATATGGCTGAATTATGTGCCATATTATTACCATAACTGACCTCAAAAATGTTCACCTCACACTAATCTTACTTTACATCTCCACCCTCTCACCCAAACCCTCAGCATTTTAAGGGAAATTCCAGACATCGTAATATTTAAGCTGTAAATATTTCAGGATGGATGCCTAAAAGATAAGGACTAAACACATACACACAAGCATAATCTTTGTTTTCCTCTTAAAAGTTTCCTTCTAAACATCCTGTTCTCCTTTAGCTTTGGAAGGAGGACTTGAAACCAGCTCATTTTTTTTCCAGAGGGAGAGGACGATGGCCGGGGGAGGCCAGGGGAGGCCCGGTAGAGGAGAGAGGAGGGAGGAGGGAGGAGGGAGGAG